TCCCGTTCATTCACTGTCTTTATTAATGAGCCAGTGTCTTTGACGTTTCTTCCACATGATTTTCGGCATTTCTGCTTTACCCCACCTCAGGGCTCCCTCTCTAAGCAAAGCTTCAATTAAAGCCACGCCCTAACATGATTTAGAATTGGAGCAAACATCGACTTTTATTAGATTTCATGAGTATTTACTGAGAACCAACTATGTGCTGGGTTCTGTGCCAAGTTCCTCCGTCCGGGAGGCGGAAGGAATGGGTTGCCGAGCAGCGTGTTCGGGTGCTCTGGGGCTCCAGGGGCAGAGTGGGCAGGGAGAGAGGGCGTGGGGGAGGGGGCCGGGGCGGAGCTTAGACCGGGACACAAAGAATGCAGGAGAGGGCTACCAAGACCGGCTCCTTTTCACACCAGGAGGACCGGGATTAGGCACGGATCCACCTGCAGCCATGAATGTCCCACTCTGAGGTTGCCTTTGTCGGAGGATCAAAGGGTGTCTCGGAGCCGCCAACAGCCCCAGCCCCAGCTAACTGCTCCTTTCTGCTCTGCGGCTGGCCAGCCCTCTGAAACTGGCTGCTCCAGAATATCGAGTTGGGAGTCTGTCTCCCCCCCTCCTCCCTCATATCTGCTCCCCTGGGGCTGCAGTAGAGAGCCCCACCCTCGAAGGGGAAGTCTGTGCTGCGAGGTGCAAAAGGACACCGGAGTCCAGCGTCACCATATGCCCTTGGGCAAGTTATTTCTTCTCTTCGGTTCCTTCCTCTTTCAGAACTGGAGCAGCTCCGGGAGCTCTGAAGATAGGATGGTGATTACTGCAGAATTGCAATGTGCGTGCGTGCGCGCGCGCGTGTGTATGTGACTTGCTGTTTAATAGGGTGCTAAGACGGCAGGGGGGCTGGCCTTTCCGTCCCCCACCCCCACACGTGTGGCTCTCATTACTGTCAGGAGGCCTTAAGTCGGGCCCCATGGAGATGAGAACAGACCCCTTAATTAGGCACCGTTCCCAGAGCAAGAGAGGGAGTAGCCTGCGCCTGGCTGCCCTGGCGTCGCGGGGAGCCCAGCCTGCAGGGCTGAAGGGGGGTGGGAGGGGGAGGCGGAGGGCCGGGGCATCTGAAGGACTCAGCAGGTTTACACTTCGCTGACCCGATGGATGAATGGGGCCCTGTCCACCCACATGGGGGCCTGGAATCTTCAATTATGGCAATTACATCAACAGGTCGGAAGGGCAGCACTTTCCACTGAAGAGGTTCAGGGCTTAAAAGAAAAATCCTAAAGCCACTGTTTCCCCCCCCCCCCCTCTTTCTTTCTTTCTTTTAAAGGGATTGGGTTGATGGAAGAAGACCCCCATCTGCAGTCTAATTGGGCTGTGGGGAGAAAACAAAGATGTGGCACATTTTGGGGGGTAAAATCTGGCTGGCACGTGTTCACCTGCTTCTGGACGCTCTTCTCTCAGTCAACTTTGTGTTAGAGTTCCCCGTGCACTTGTGTCTCCCCTGTCGTCTTCCTGAGCGAGGGACGGGTGCCTTCATCTCTGAAGCTTCCTGGCATGCAATGCAGTGGGAGCCACTCAAGGCAGCACCAAACTGGCCTCCAAGGGTTGGATTAGACCTTGGAGAAGTCATGTCTCTCCGACCCTTGGCTTCCCCAGCTGTAAAATGGGCATAATGCTTTCTATCCTTTCTCCTTCCTAAGCTCTTAAAGAAGACTTTAGATCCTGCTCTGTACTCAAGCTAATTGGATGGGTTTTTTTTCTCTCAGCTGCCCTGCGGCTAGGTAGGTGAGACTCAAGTGAGACTCTTGCACCAGCAGCATGGGAGTCACCTGGAGCTTGTTAGAAATGCAGAATCTTGGGTTCCATGCTAGACAGACTGAATCTGCATTTGACCAAACTCCCCAGGAAATTCGTGTGCACGTTACAGTTTGAGAAACCCAACTCTAGACTGAAGCTTGTATACAATAAACATTAGTTGAGTGAGACTGAGCCTTGTGGCCTGGCCTTGCTCTCATCTATAAAATGGGGATAATGATATTTGTTCTTTCCCATGGGGGGATGCTGGGAGAGCACATAAAGTACAGTTGACCCTGGAATAACACGGGTTTAAACAGCATGGTTCCGCATATATGCAGATTTTTGTTTCAGTAGATACAGTACCGTACTGTAAATGTATTTTCTCTTATGATTTTCTTTTTTTTTTAAATTATTTATTTATTTATTTGAGAGAGAGAGAGAGAGAAACATCATGAGAGGGGATAGGGTCAGAGGGAGAAGCAGACTCCCCGCTGAGCAGGGAGCCCGACGTGGGACTCGATCCCAGGACTCCGGGATCATGACCTGAGCCGAAGGCAGTCGCTTAACCAACTGAGCCACCCAGGCGCCCCCTTATGATTTTCTTAATAACATTTTCTTCCTTCAGCTTACTTTATTGTAAGAATACAGTATGTAACAGATATAACACACAGAATATGTGTAGATCGACTGTTTGTGTCATCGGTAAGGCTTCCGGTCAACAGTAAGACTATTAGTACTTAAGATTTGGGGGAGTCAAAACTTATACTCAGATTTTTGTCTTCGAGGGGAGGCAGTGCCTAACTCCTCCATTGTTCAAAGATCAACTGTACTTTGTAATTATAAAGGTATTTTATCCTGTCATTCACTGGACCATTCAATAAACATTTGCTGAGCAGCTGTTATAAGGCAGGCTTGAGATTCATACAATATCATTCCTGTTTAGAAAAAAATTTGCAGTCTCCTAAAAGTCTGATTTTTAAAGGAACTAAGTACAACAAAATGTGGTAAGTGCTATCAAATAGCTATGCTCAAAATAGGAGATGGTAAGGGTGAGCGATAATCAGTTCTGATGGAAGTTCAGGGCTGGGTAGGTCAGAAGAGGCTTCACCGAGGGGGTGGCATTGAGCTTATGTGGGCATGAGCCAGGTGAGGGAAGAGAAGGGCCTTCTCGATGGAGCCTTTGAGACATGAAAGAGGGTGGGGGAATTGGGGTGGCCTTTAGTCCCGAGGTCTAGCGAGAGTGACTGGAGTGAGAGTGTATTTGCAGACAGTCGCATGACTTGCTTGGTGAGTATAGACAGGAGAGGTCCTGCTGCCTGTTTAGTTTCTTTGGGGCCCATCATCTGGTTTACTTTAGCTTCCAGGCCTGTGTTGGGGTTATCAGCCTGAAAGTTATAGTCCTGCCTACACTGTTAACTGCCTAAGAGGAAGACATCATTTTTTGGTCTGTTTGTTTATTGGTTTTTCTTTTTATTGCTCATCTGCTCTGATAGGTGGGTTAGAACACCAGTGTTCTACTTCTTAGGATTTTAACATAACACGGAGTAGTGGGGGATTAGTGAAGGAGCGGAAGTAGGCTTCCAGATATGTCATTTATTTTTACCACCCAGTTGGAAAGGCAAGTTGGCACCTAGGCTGAGAATTGAGATGTCAGCATGTTTAGGAAATGGCCGAAGCCCTCCTTCAGCTCCAGTGAGATGTGTCGCTGCCCTGCTCCCCTGTGACCATCCCACTGTGTCTACCGGTCACAGTGGTCACAGGCTCAGGGCGCTGTGGCTCTCAGCCAGCCTGTGGGTGACAGGAGAGATAGCAGAAACTGATACATATGGGAGAGGTGGCTCTCATCCAAAGCAGGCAACCATGCCTCTGGGCTCTGCCTGGTCCCAGTGGGTGAGACCAGAGGGGAGAGTGGGTGACACCATATGGGTGTGGGCAGAGGGAGGCACAGTGCAGAGCAGGCACGGGGTGTGATTTCAGTTCTCCTGAGGCTCAGGAGACTTGCAGCTTGACACGAGGCTTGAGCTCTCTTTGCTCATCCAGGCCAGCAGTGTGCATGCGTATGCTGTGCCCGAATGCAACTCCACGATGGAGGGGGACGGACCTCAGCTCTGGGGGCTCTGGCCACTCCTCAGTATGGCCGGAAAGTGGCTGGATGCTTGCTGGGCCTCCTTTTTGCTCAGTTCAAAGCTAAAGGCAAGGACTTTGTCTTGCTCGTATGGGATAGCGCCCTTGGGTGCTGAGTTAATATGTAACCAAACTTGCAGAAAGGTTTATCTGTTTGTCTCTGGCAAGGACATTTGGGCAAACGGCTTTCTGCACCACTGCCCTCGGCGTTAGTGTTTATTCTCTTTGGGCTAGGGAAAGAGATAGAACCTTCCCGTATCACTGGTCCCTTTTAGTTCTCTGTTGACATATCCGTGGTGAACTTTTTAAAGAAAACGACCCCAGGGGCTTAATGCTCTGGGTGGAGCTTCACTGTAAGCTTGGGAAGTGGCACAATGCAGAGAAACTTTCTGAGATGTGCAGCCAGGTAGGACTGGACTCTTGCACTTAAGAATTGTGAGACTTAGGAAAGTACTTTACTGCCACATGCCTCAGTTTCCCCAGTAGTACCACAGGAGTGAACTGCTCTTCTTGCTGGATGGGGGGTGGGGGTGGGCAAAGGACACAGCACAGGGACAGCTGCCGTGCTGGGAGTCTGGATGTGACCCAGCCCCCGCTGGTCTAGAGAAGGAGAATCAGAAGCCTTTCAGTTCATGTGCGGGCAAGCAAAGGAGCCCAGTGTCACCCCTGAGTCAGCCAGAAAAGGAAACTGCGGCCAGGAGCGCCCCACCCTGCGGGGGCCCCTGTGACCACCACACCTGTCCTCAGACCCACACAAACAGCACAGAAGGGAGCCCCACCACCCTCAGGCTTCCTGATCTCACTCTCCACACCCACTCTCGCTCCACCTGACCTGGCCTTTGCTCTCCCAGCTCCGGTTGCCTTGCCTTTTTGGATCTGACCCTTGCCAGGTCCTTGCTATCGCCTCGAACCTGCTCAAAAGTGACGGATCGAACATGCAGGGCACGACTCCTACCGCCTCTGGTGGGCACGCCTCCCTCCTCAGCGGGGCCAGCAGCTCCGTGCCGCCGAAGCAGCCTCCTCCCTCCTCTGGGTGCTCTCTTGGTTTCCGGGGTGCCGTTTCCTCCTGCCTCTCTAGCTCTATCATGTTTTATTTTTTATAGCTGTGGGGAGCAGTCTTTGAGGATTTGGGGGGTGAACACGCCACGGGCCCGCTTCATCAAGAGTGGAAATCGGCAGGAGGAAAAAGGACGTCCTTAAAGTGACGTGAGGAAGTCTTCAGGTGAAGAAGCTCTCGGTGTCCCCTTCGGAGGGCAGAGGGGAAGTCCTGAGCAAGTTCCTGATACCAACGACCAGATCTACCTCCTCTAGATGCTGCAGAGATAAAACGTTTCTCTCTTTGCCCTGAGCCTCGGTTTCTTGTTTTGTAAAATGATGACAATAATGATTCCAATTTAGGCAACTTCATGGGTGGCTATGAGGACCCCAGCAGGTACTGGAGGTGGAAGTACTTGGTAAGCTCTGCAGCCCCAGGCACTTGACAGGGGCTGCCCACGTCGGCTCTCAGCCCCGTTCTGGGTGGAGGCCTGAGCATCCTCAGCCGGGGGCCGTTCCTGCTTGTGCTAAGCAGCCCCCTGCCAAGGCCCCTGAGTTTCCGGGACTGGAAGACAGATGAATTCCATGTGATCCCTTTCCTCAGGCTTTTCTCCCAGATGGAGTGTGCCTTGTGGGTGGTGAGGAGGCTGGAGGAATTCGCAAGGGTGACTTTGCGGGAAGCCTCCAGATGGGATCTCCCGTGGCAAACACGCCTGAGTCGAGGACCCCAGCTCCCATGGGTCCCCCCGCCCCAGTTAAGAGGGGGCAGAGCGTGGCAGATGTGTGGGGAATGTGTGGGGCTGCATGTGTGACATGGCATCCCCACGTAGGCAGGGAAAAAGTCATAAAGGGCATGTCGTTATTCTGATTTCATACATGAAGAAACTGAGGGTAAGAAGGGCCATGCTCCTCCTCCACAGTTGCACGGCTCATAGAGGGAGATGTGGCATTTGAACTTGGGACAGTCTGGCTGCAAAGCCTCCTTACATCACCGGTCATGTGTGTAGTAATGGTGATCTCACAGGGTCAGTGAAAGAAGGATGGGAACGGTGCTGTGTAGGGATAGAGGAGGAATCACTTCTAGCCGGAGAAATCCAGGGAACCTTCCTTGAGGAGGTGGCTTTTGCCTCCAGGGTTTGAGGAAGAGACCAGCTTTGGACATTCAGAGATGTTTTTTCTTTCCGTTCAGTTGTTCAGTTGCGCTCTGTGGGTGGCTTCTCACGTGTGGTGAATCTTCATAAAATCCACTTAGTTCACGGCCTCGGCGTAGTTCAGAGACTCTCCCCGCACAGGAGAAGTCCCGGAGAACTGGGGATGGGAGAGGAAGGCGCTCTGGACTGGGTTCGACCCAGGAGCTTTCCTGGAACAGGCCATGGGGAGAGGTCTGATGCAGTGGGTCAATTAAGAACTGGATTTTATTGCAGATTTATTGCAGCCTTCCTTCCTTCCACCCTCCCTCCTTCCCTCCCTCCCTCGAGTCCTGAGTGCCTGCTCTCTGCCTAGGGCAGTGCTGAGTGCGGGGGAGGGGGGGAAGGGGAGGTGGGGGCCCACTCTGACACAGTTTGGGCCCCCTGGGAGTCCAGTGTTTAATGATGGGAGGGATAAGGTTGCAGGGCCCCAGGGTCCCAGTGTTTGCCTAGAAACTCAAGAAGCCCCCAGCGTGGGGCAGGGTGACCCCATTGAGGGGTGTGGGTAACTAGAGTAAAAGAAAATAAGCTGGCCATACAGATGGGGGGGAGGGGTGTTGGGGCGAGGGCGGGGGAGGGGGAGAAGCTTGCAGGGCAGCCGGAGGGGAAGGCCCAGGCAAGCCGCAGAGAGGGCTGAAGGAGGTAGGAGCTGGGCAGCTGGCCCACCAGGGGCCGTCCCCCGCAGCTGGCCTTGCCCACAGCTGTACTCCGGCGAGCGGCCCACGCCAGAAGCCAGCTTTCATCAGCACAGCAGAGCAGAACTTGGCTGCTTCACTGATTTTCTTCTACCGCTCGCCGCCCACTCGGAGAAAACTTGTAGAAACTCTGCCTATAGCAGAGGTGGTTGGGTAAACCAAGGACGGGAGACGCTGCAGGACATCCTTGCACGCCCTTCCGTCCCAAGTTCGTGGGCCGCGAGCAAAGGGCCTGAAGTTTCGCCGGCACGTGGGCCCGCCAGCCGCAGGTCCTCGACCTCGAGGTCTCTGCCCGGTCACACCATTGAGGGGTCTCAGCTCTGGAAGGATCTGAGGGTAGCGAGGCCAGTGGTTGCTAAACTGACAGATGGTCACCTGGGAAGCTTTTAAAAGTACCCATCGCCAGGCTCTGAGCCCAGACGTATGAGTCAGTAATCGGAGCCCGGGCCCTGTCCGGTTGTTGGTTCTGTAGGTCCCCCCGCTCAGAGGGGTGGTCCCCGGGGGCCAGTGAGGCCCGGGCAGCACTTCCTTGCTCTTGGCAACTGGCCTTTTCTTGTGAATTTATCGTTCTCATTAAGGGAACGGCTCTACAAAACCTGCTGAGAGGACCAACACTATTGTGCTCCTGAATGCAGGGCTGAGCAGCCAGGAGAGGGGTTCTGGGCTGGCTCTGTTCCATTTCATCAGGGAGAAGGAGCCCTTCCCTGGGGTGGGGGAGCCTTGTCTGTGCCAGGCACAGTTGCCTCGAGATGCTTCCCCTAAGCTGTGGGGAGAGCTGGTCAGCCAGAAACGTCCTCACCAGGGCCTAGCCGAGAGGAGGGTGCGTGGAGCAGCGCTGCTGACCGCCCCCCCTGACGTACCCCCATCGCACCCCCTCCTCCCCCGGCCTGGCTGAAGAGCAGGTTGTCTTCTGGAGGAACTGGGGCCTTGGGTGTTTCTCTGGGAAAACACTTTAGTTTTCATTTCTAAAGCCCGAGAAGTGCTCAGCAAGAAGATAGTAATGATTTTACTCCACGTGCCTGGGATGTGCTCACACAGGCTTTCACGCGCTCCTCGTAGCTGCCCTGGGAGGAGAGAGGACAGGGGCCACCTTCCCATGCTGAGCCCAGAAAGGGATGGGCTTCTGAAGGGTTTAGTCCTGAAGGGCCATGGTGCATGTTAGGTACTGTCACCTTGTTGAGAAAGAAAGTGAGAGAGAGAGAGAGAGAAGAAACAACTGACAAAGCCAATGGGGTAAAATGTTAACAATAGTGAATCAGCTGCGTCAAAAACATATGCATGTTTTTATATTAATTTTATTTTTACACTTTTTTGAAATTTTAAATTTTTTTTTTTAGTCTTTTTCTTTTTTTTTAAGATTTTATTTATTTATTTGAGAGAGAGAAAGAGAGATAGCAGGAGCAGAGGGGAAAGGGAGAAGCAGGCTCCCCCGCTGAGCAGGGAGCCCGATGACATGGGGCGCGATCCCAGGACCCTGAGGTCATGACCTGAGCCGAAGACAGAAGCTTAACCGACTGAGCCACCTAAGCTTAAATCTATTTTCAAATAAAAAAAACTTCTGGGGCGCCTGGGTGGTTCAGTCGGTTGAGAGTCTGCCTTTGGCTCAGGTCATGATCTCGAGGTCCTGGGATCGAGCCCCACATTGGGCTCCCTGCTCAGCAGGGAGTTTGCTTCTCCCTTTCACTCTCCCTCTGTGCTCTCCCTCTCTCTCTCAAATAAATAAATAAAACAAAACTTAAAAAAATTTTTTTCAAATAAAAAAACTTCTTTAAAAAGGGGATGTGGTTTATTTAAGGACATAGCAAGTTGATAGTGGGGACCCTCTGCATGTAAGGCTCACTTGTCACATCTTATTATCTCTGGATTTATTTATTTCTTTGACTTGGCTTAAATGCCAGTTCTCGAGTGAGCCTTCCCTGGCCTCCCAGACTAGGTCATGGGCCCCGATTTCATGTACTTTTCCTTCCGCTTATCACCAACAGTTCAGAGTGAATTATTTTTGAATTTCATGCCTGTTTCTGCGGCAGGACTGTAAGCTTCTTGAGGGCAGGATCTCATTTGCCTTGTCCCTGCTGTATCCCAAGGGTCTAGCGCTGTGACTGGAATGTAGTAGGTGCCCAACTCGTATTTGTTAAAAGCGTCAGTGAACGAGTGAGTGAACGCCAGAGCGTGGCCCCAGATGTGCACAGGCGGACACACACCCGTGCGACCATGCTCATGCTCTGCTCTCTTCGTTCCATTGCTCTGTATCATATGCAGGCTGGAGATGCCAGGATTACAGGGCAGCTGGTGGGGTGGCATCATGCCTCTGGAAATGACATCTGGGAATGAATGACATCCTTTGGGAAGAGAGGATGACGCTCCTTCCCAGCCAGCACCTCCCTCCCCTCTGCACCTCAAACCCAGAGGCTCTTGCGTGGATGGGGGGGTGGGTGGAGGGAGATGATGCTCTCGTAGCAGGTGGTGGAGGGATCCCAGAGACAGCAGGCTCCAAGAGGGGGGCAGGGATGCAGGGTGGAAACCGCTGCCTTTCTGGAAACAAAAGAGCCCTTTAAAGTCACTTGATACCATGTCTTCCTGCCCTGGGCCTCTGCCAAGCCTCCCTCTTCCTATTGTGGAGCAGCAGAAACAACAGGGACCTGCATTTGCTCCTGCCCGTGCACTGCCACGAGGAGCGGGGACCAGTGCTGTGCCCGAGGGCGCCCATTAACTGAAGAGTTTTGATTTTCGATTTTGAATGAGTGATACATCCCCATGTTTCAGAATTCCAAAGTGTTAAGATACACGTGCAGTGAGCGCCCCGCGGCCCCCTCTGCCCTCCATCCATCCAGTACCGAGGTTTTAGTTCTTAGGAAATACACAGATTCCCTGCAGGGGCAGAGTTCCACATACACTGTTTCCATTTTGCCCTTTGCCCTTACTGATAGATATTTTTTCTTTCTCGGTTCCATAGTATTCCACGGTGTCAGTGTACTGGGGAAAGTATGGGGCGGACTTCCGCAGCCAAGCTGTGTGCACGAATCCCACACATTTCTTCCTGGATTGTATTGACTATTGAGGAGTGATGGAGGGTTACAGAGGAGAGGGACCTTACTCCTTGTGCTGCCCAGGATAGTAACCACTGGCCATGGGTGGCTATCGGACATTTGAAATATGGCCAACCCGACTGGGATGTACTGTAAATGTCAAATGTTCCCTGGATTTGGAACATTTAATTTTTAAAATGTCAAATATCTTATTAATTAATACATGTTTATATTTATTACAAGCTGAAATTATGATTTTTGGATATATTGGTTAAATAAAATATATCGTTAAAAGAAACGGCACTTAAAAAAAAAAACTTTTAACAACGTGGCTAATAGCAAATATAAATGATATATGTGGCTCGCATTCATCTGTGGCCAGCATGTTTCTAATGGGCGATGCTTCCTTGGAGACTTGGAGCCCAGGGAGGGAGTTGGGGTGGGAAGGAGCTAAATAG